GAGTCTTCACTCATAGTGACGAGACATTTGTCACTACTCAATGATACTTCACTCAAATCCAACATATACACATTATTTACCCTCAAGCCATTAAACACATCCCCCTTTTTATCATTATTTTCAATCATGCAACAATCCTTTGAAAAAGATACTTTATATCTCTTGTCACACAATTGACTAATGCTTATGAGGTTGTGTTTAAGACCCTCAACTAGAAATACATCAGAGATAGTAGTAGAAGAGGGATTACCTACACTACCTTTTTCCAAGTATTGCTCCCTTGTTGTTGTCTCCATAGGTTACAAATACCTTCTTCTTTTCCACAAAGTCAATGAAGAGAGATATGTCTCCTGTCATATGTCTTGAGCATCCACTATCGAGAACTCATCTTCTCTCCGTAGGCTCAAGACTTTGTACCTATAAAAATAATCAACAAAAATAGGTACCCAATTTTTTATTGGGTCCTTAGTTGTGAGTGAAATCTTGGTTGCATTTAGGCAACCATTGATAAACCCCTTTAGGAACTAAAAATCTCCTAAAACGATATTTAGCTATGGTATGACCCCTTTTGCAACAATACAAGCAAGTGAGGTTAACCTTTGTATCACTTTTGTTACCTTAATTTTTGATCACATATGTATATTTTTTATAAGGATTAATCATGCTTTTTCTAAAGTGTGATCTATCAATAAAAAAAGTGATCTTTGGTTCTAAAGCCTTGTCAAGTTTGGCTTTAAGAGTGCTAACCTCTTTTTGCCAAATATGATAAGTATCACACCCAAAGTTTAACCATCTACTTCTTTCTTCCTCAACATCTACCTTTGTTACTTCCACCACGGATGCTTTGAGAGCCTCCAATTTCATTTCGGAATCGGAGATCTTTTTCTCCAAGTGAGTAAAAATTTGTTTGTTTGAAGCCAACCGTTTAAAAGTCTCCTTGGCTTCATGGTGTAAGGTGTCAAAGGCATGTTGTAATTCAGAATGAGACAATTTAGTAGAATTTTCGTATTTAGCATGTCGTACCTTTTTATTTTTCTTCTTTTGATGAGGAAGAGACAAAGGTTGACGGACTCTTCTTCGTCACTTGAACTATCATCCGCGGATGACTCACTATCTCTTTCCCAAGCGATGTAAGCTCTTCTAGGCTTACCTTATTTCTTTTGTGAGCGATTACTTTCCTTTCCTTTGCCCTTCTTCATCAATGAACAATCCGGTTTATATTGCCCGACTTTTCCACAATTAAAGTACGACCTTCTTGCCTTACTCCCCTTATTTCCTTCATTCTTGGAAGACCTGATTGTCTTCTAAAATTGACAAGATTCTTTTTAGAATGTTGGATACCATTCTTCTTTACATAGAAATTGTATCGCTTCACGAACAACCCCATATCCTCATTCGTTTCTTCATCATCGTAATCACTTAGCTCTTTTGAGGAGGACTTTGAACAAGAAGTTTTTAGAGCTAAAGACTTCTTTTCCGTAGTTTTGGTCTTTTCCTTCTTTTCCTTTTTCTCAAATTGCTCGAGACTAAGAAGCATTTTCTCATGTTCTTGGAGCTTTCCAAAAAGAGTTGTAAGATCCAAAGTCATAAGATCATTTGCTTCCTTTATGGTCGTGACCTTTGGTTGCCACTTCTTGGTAAGATATCTTAAAACTTTGTTAGTAGCAACATCATTAGAAATTGGTCTACCAAGTGAATTTAGTCCATTGATTAAGTGAAAAAATCTCTTTTGCATGTCGGTAATGGTTTTCCCTTTCTCCATGTGAAAGATATCAAACTCTTGAGTCAAAGTGTTGATTCTAGCTAGTTTGACATCATTAGTTCCCTCATGAGCAACTTGCAATGAGTCCCACATAGTTTTAGCAGTCATACAATGTGAAACTCTATAATATTCATCAACTCCTAAAGAGAAAATCAGAATATTTCTAGTCTTCCAATCATAATTGTAATTTTTCTCATCTTCATCATTCCATTGTGCTTCAGGCTTAGGCACAACAACGTTATTTCATCGGTCATGGTGATTTCCATAGGACCATTCAATATAACGTTCCATACCTTTCTGTCAATGGAATTTATATGCACGCGCATACAAACTTTCCAGTAAGTATAGTTCTCACCGTTGAAAACAGGTGCTCTATTATAAGCCCCTTTTGGTTCGTTTGCCATAGTCTAAGAAGTTATATGCAAAGCACATAATGAATCGGTGCTCTTGATACCACTTGTTAGACGACGAAAATGATCTAGAAGGCGGGTTGAATAGATCACTTATTTAAAATAGAGTCGGTGCTTAATATAATTTGATTTTTAAAAGTTTTAAGCGGAAGCGGCTGAGGAACTATACTCGTCTAAACGAACCGTTATCGAAGAGATCGGATATACGCTACACCTATATGGAATACCGATAAAGGCGAGAATTAGAATCAATAATTTGAACAAAAATTAATAGGATTTTGTTCACTCAAAGTTGGACAATTTCCAATGCTTGTGAAATATAAACCAAATTGAAAAACAGCTCAAGTGTTTGCATTCACGCAATTAATTGAACACTTGGTGTTCGAAGCACCTCAAGTAAAATTCAATAAGTGAATGAAGTGATATGTTTTTTCAATTACAATCAAACTGATTGTAATGAGGTTTCTAAACACGTTTCAGCACTAACACACCATAATTTAAGCCAACTAATATATTTGCACACAAACTCAAAATTCAGCAATGAAAATAGTAAAAAGAAAGAACACCAATTTGTTGAGCCAGTTTCCATGTCGTCCTCGTTTGGGGTACGTCTACCCTCAATTCTAAAAATAGAATTGAGACATGTATATATAACATGTTGCAAATTGTTTTTACAAGAGAAACAATAGAATTCAAACACTCAATCTCAAACGTTGATGATGAGCCTATGCCTTCTCTTCCCTTGATTCAAGATGAATCAAGTCCTTCGAACGTGATGACTAAACCTCCGATTGCGGCACCACCTTTGAACAACCCTCTGGTCTTCAAATCTTGCCCAACTGATTTCAAACACCAACACTTCGAACCCATACCTTCCTTTCACAATCCTCCAATTAACGCTACTAAATTGACAGAACCTCACGTTCTTCAATTACCTTCGCTCGGCTGAATCTGTGAAGGAACGATTTCTGCAAAACCCTCAAAATCCAAGATTCTTGGAGGACAAAACCCTAAAGGTTTTATTCAAGAAAAACCCACTGATTTCTCAACCCAACCCCGATACACCGATCTTAAGTTTGGACATTATCACCTCGATGATGCAGAATGCACAACAAAAATGATTATGTGTAGTTGTTGAGAAAATGCAAGAAAGAGGATGAAGATGATGATAACCAAATCAGTGTATATTTTCACTTTTCTTGTTTTATGTAGAATGAGCTATCTCAATATATATGCAAAGTTGTAACCAAATAACAGACATAACAGTTACTTTAAATGGTAAACATAACAGAAATTTTATGAGAAACGAGTGAGCGGTCGACCTAAAATAAGGAGGGGTCGACCTGAGCTCTCTCGAATTCAGGATTATTCAGAAAAACGCTCTTTGCGTTGACCAGAACAGGTCCATGCGTCGACGCAAAGCACCCCAATTTAGACAAATACAAATGCACACAGTATGAGTTGACCTGAGGGTTGATGCGATCTCTCTTGAGAGTAAAACATGAAAATTGACTTTTGTTTGAGTTGACCTAAACAAGCTTTGAGTCGACTCAAAGACTCAGAACTTGCAAAAAATGCAGATTTTGATATGTTTAGCTACATCGAAGTGTTCCTAATGCATCTCTAACTCGACCAACATGATCAAACTCATATAGAACACATATAGTGCTTTTCCTATATGAACCAAGACACATTTTAACCAATGTTTGCCACTAGAAAAATGACGTATGCATATATGACTCGATAATACCGTCTAAAGTACCTTTTTCTAACTGTATACGTTTTGACATCATTAAAACAAGTATAACCAAGTATGAGGCACTTTTTTCTCACATGTATGAGTTATGAGATGCACGAAAAGAGGAGTTAGAGCTCTAACAGTAAAAGTTTGCTACAAAGAGAAGCTTGAATGAGACAGAGAGCTCAAAAGTTTGAAAGGAGGAAGAGTTTTTTCTTTAAGAAAAGGAACAAGAAAGAAGTGAAAAAGGTAGTCAGGCGCGAGATATGAAACAAAAGCGTCCAAGAGATGCATCTTCGGATCACCCACTAAATTTTTGAATAAATTTTGAATTTATTTAACATGCCTAATCCCATCTCCTAGTGATTTTTGGAAGAACAAACACTTTCTAAACAAGATGTTTCAATAGTAATTTATTGCATGTTTCCTTCTGGAGAAAAAAAGGACAATTATTTAAAAATATTAGTAGTTATTGTATGATTGAATCTGCATCAAATTCTTCCATTTAATTCTCTATAAACACCTATAAATTTTTAAAGACTTCGTCTTAAGTGAAAAATTATATGCATATTTTGATTGAGAAGTTTTCTCAAATTAGAAGCTAAAATAACATCTTCCTCGGTCTTTCAACACCCCTAATGAAAAAGCTCTACAATAGCTAATCTGTCTCTTCACAAGCTAAACAAACATGATCTAAAATACACCATAATGACTCTTGATAATCTCTAATCTCTTCATAGTACCAAATAATACAAAGAAATGGCCATACAATAATAATCTCACCTATCATCTCACCTACAAAGGCTGGAAAGCATACAATAATAATCTCACCTATCATCTCACCTACAAAGACTAGAAAGGATTACATAGGAGATAACATTTGATCTTAAATCACTTCATTTTACATTTTACTTGCTTTGTCTTGCAACCTCCCCTAACATTTAGCTACCACACAAAATCTATACCTATACATATGGGATTGTACACTGCCATAATCAAACATCATCAGCAAAGATATATCTGAGGTTGCTGTTGGTTGGTTGGTGATTTGTCTCATGATATGAAATAGCATCACCATTTCTGACTTTTTTCAAGAATTTTTATCAGATGGTGCGAGATCATTTCTATCAGAATTGAGATTGATATTGGTATGTGAGTTGTCAGCTGATCCAACCTCGTCCTGTTGATTCTCGTCTTTCTTTGAATTCAGGAACCGACCTCCGCATCCTCTTGCTCTTTTCAGTGCGTGCAAGTGTCGCGATTCGTGCAAGTATGGCTGAAAATATTTGTTTAAAGATCAAATAAGTATATATCTCGAAATGATGCATGGGAGCATGGGAGTGAAATAAGTTTATTAAAATCAACTTTTGGCATCATTTGAAAGAAAAGGTTTATGGCATACCTTCCGATTCCTTGTAACTTTCTTTTCTGATTCAGCTTTAGCACGAGACTGCCTGCGTCTTAAAATACCATGATACTGTTTTGCATTGACAAACACAGGTTCCTCGACTGCGTCAGTTGGCAAAGGAACACCTGCATGCTGAATTCCCATTAGCTGAAGATTGGCCTGACACAGGATATGGTTCAATAATGAGGATCAGAAAATAGCTTTGACAAGAAGCCACCATATATTACAAAAATCAATAGCAAGAGAATATAATGAACCATTGGATGTCCACCGTAGGGCTGTGGCGGATAAGCTTGTGCATCATAGGGAGCAAACATGCTTCTGTAGTAGGGATCTGGATATGGATAAGCAGGTGGCACCTTTAATATAATACAAAGCAATAGAAATCAGTAAAGTACAACAGTTCACATTTTAAGATAGGATAGAACAGAAAAAACAACAGTAGTGTAGTAAAAACAGCAAAGTTTCAGGAACTATGGTAGTTTAATCGCTCGACCAAGTCTGAGCAGTCACTTCTTACTTCTATGGCATTACATCAAGATAACAACTGGCACCCTTGCACCAGTACTTGCTGAGAAAATCACTTAGTAATCACAATTGTCAGGTAAAAAAAACTCTTGTTACTTCAAGAAATCAACTTCAATTTGTCAAACGCTACCTCTAAGTAATGTTAATTTACATTAGAACTTCATATAGTTTGCAATGTAATTTAGCATTATGTCAGATAAGAAAAACAGTTTCTAAGACCATTGAGAAAATCCTAGCATCAAGCAATAAAATTCTTTCTATAAGAAACAATTGTTATTTTTTCAGTTCTAATTATCGGAAACATCGACCAATTTTTAATATTAATTGGTGGAATTTCTTTTAGGAAAAAACGTGTATACATTTCTATATACACGGTTGATGCTGTTTTTTCCTAAGATTTTGCTAACTCCACCTCATCTCCTAAGAAATTCAGATTGGTGAGTTTGTGTTCATTGTCACGGAAAAGGGACAAATTGGAACACAGATGCAGCTCGACCCATAGAGTCGCCGTTAAGGCTACAATTGCATGCACTGCAAAATGGTGTGCTCTCAAAGCAAAATCACAGCGGGTCTCACCAGAACAACCACACCCCCACATGATCATGCCTCCTTTCCACATTGCAACCACATGCCTATGCTTGCCTGTTCGTTGCTGTAGAGATTGGAGGGAAATAAGATGAGGAAAGCACCAGCCATGAGGGTGTTGTGGATGAGGAAAGGACCACTTATTCTTCTCTCTTTTTGGGGTATCAGGACTTCAAAAATCCTCAAGCTCTCCATATAACAATATTATTGCTTTCAAAGTCAACGCAAAGGGAGGAATCTGATAGCTGGAAGAAAGCCTGTTGGATGTTGTAGCTGAGTGGGCAAGATCAATGGGCAAGATGAAAACATAGGGGGAGAGAAAGTGAGGGACTGGGTTTGGAAGACGCCGGCGTTACACAGATGTTAACTAATTTAAGTAACTCGAAATAAAAATCCACATGCTCCATTTAGGTTGGAAAACAGCACCAATAACATATATCTAACTGCATATAAAGTTTGTTCTTTTTTTATACCATTAATAGTAATATCTAAAAACCTGTCAAATTCCATGTTTGGATTGATGGAACAGAATGGAGCGGAGCAAAATATAGATCCTACTCAATTGTTTGGATATTTTATTAATAATGTTTCATTTCATTGCACACACCCCAAATCGGATGGAATGGAGGATTGGATGGAATGAATTCCATCATGTTCCATTCCACTCCATCCATCATTTGCAAATCCAAACAATGGAATCATATTATTTATCACTCCATTCCATCACCTACCACCAATCCAAACACACCGTGGATATTTTTGAGAATTTATTTACATTCTAAATGCACATCCACGATCTTGACGATTTGGACTTTTGTTTAAATTTGTTAAGACACGTGGGAAATTCCCACTTTCACAATAATGGGAAGTTGGGTATTATGGCATGTCTTTGTGACACATCGAGAAGTATGAGATGCTCAATAAAGTAGTTAAGTGGCTTGGTTCTTCCCCCTTGATAGTGAATTTTGTAGGCTTTGTTTAGGAGTTTTAAGCAAACGAGAAGAATTTGCCAAAAAATGAGGAAGGAAATGGAAGTAAAAGGAATGATAGCCCCCCAACTAGCATGCAAGTTATTATTCTTCATAAAACTAAAACCCTCTAATCTGAGAAAACTCAAAAAATGTAATAGGGAGGATTCCCTCCCCTCCCCTCCAAACTCCATGCTGTTCACAAACTTAGGAAACAAATATCATCATGACTTCAGAACCAATTTTCTTCAATAGCAAAACAAAATAGCCTCAATATATTTCTGTGATAGCTACGACGAGATGAACGATGTCAAATGGCTGTGGCCTAAACAAAAAACATTCCTAAAGTTTTTTTTTTTAAGTAATTAAACATCAAGATGCCATTTCCAATGAGATAGCCAAGGGTGAGAAACAACTGAACAAACATGGTTTGTTTTTTAAAGACAAAAGGAAAAGAACAGCAGGTAAAAGTTCATACCATAGCATGTCCAGGGCCAAGCTGCGGAGGTGGTACGTATTGAACAACCTGAGTATCAATACCAGCATGAGAAATTCCATTTGCAGATACAGGCTGCATCTGTGATTCTGACTGCTCTTGTCCATCAGCCTCGTTCTCGTTATCTGGACAACAATTTGTTTGATAACTTCAGGCTTCAGATATTACATTTTGCACTCTTTTGGGGCCAGGGAATAGTTCAAAGTCATCGGTTTAAGAAAAACATAAAACTTCAGATAGCATGGCAAAGAAGCTCAATGTAAAAATTTGATTAATAAGACAATAACAGAAAAGCAACATAGTGAATAAATGGGTGAAGAAGCTATGCCAACTGCCAAGAGCAAACACAACAACCAGAATACAGAAACATCCAATACACTAAGAACACAGAAGTTCTACATTTTCGTTTAGTTTTAAAGAAATAGAAGCTTCCGTTTATATTCAGTTTGAAATAAACCAAGAGATTGAAAGAGATATTCTTTTAATAAAGTCAACATTTGAAAATAAAATACACAATAGACTTGCTGTAAACTTTTCAATAACGGGAAGTGAATGTAATTTGTTCATTACAAATAAAAGAGGTAGCTTAAAACAATAAATTGGATAAAGGAGTTCTACATGTAAATACCTGTGGGATCATGAGTAGAAGAAGTCATGGTTTCCTGATTCACATGCACTCTGTCCAAATCTGGAACCAGAACAAACACTGTTAGCAGAATTCAAGATTACAGCAGCTTCATAGTATGCACTGTGCAGAGACAAGACAGAATCCTGGAAAAGGATATGAAAAAATTTGCAGAAGCTAGTAGTCTATGCAATTATAGCTGAGAGTTGCTACTTTGAAACAAAAGTTGACATCGTATATGGGACATTGTGTACAGTACAGTTTGAGTTAATATCTTTTCTTCATAATGGTTACTTATTTTCATGTTTTATAGGATACAAGTAAAGTGTGCTATAAGAGACTGCACAGTCAATCTCAATCATTACCATAGATTCAATTATAGCTTAGGGTATAAGAACCCTCAGTGATCATAAGGATTGGGTTATGATGAATGACTCAAAATAAACCATCAATCTATTTATGTTCAGTCAAAATTCTCAATCCAACATGTTAAGTGAGCATGTGGTTATAAGTGGGGGCAATCTTCACCCTGCTAGCTGATTTTGTAGGGTTGAGTTAGGCCTAATCACATTTCTTAAGATGGTATCAGAGCCTTATTTAAGATCCATTGAGCCATCCACCATTTAGTTCCATGCCCCAAACTCAAATCCTCACTCTTCTAACCGATTTTATAGGATTGAGTTAGACCTAACCACACATTCTTAAGACAACAAAACAAGAAAAAAATCCAATGTAATTAAATCTTTGACCCTAGTAGCCGCCCCAAATTATCCCCACCACTTAGGATTTTTAGACCCTCTATGGGACTAATCCTCAGGTCGACCGCGGTGTCTAATTCCAACCTGTCGAATCTCAATCTCACGCATCAAGTTCAAAATCAAACATTCATCATAAACATAACCATCAAATAACACAAGATATAAGTTCTCAATAAGCCCAAAACTGTACAAAATAAAAAAAAAATCCATCAGTCATAAGTCATGAAAATTGAAAACCCAAAATAAAAATTTAGACCAAGATATTGAAGAAGGACATGCAACATAAACAAATCAGAAAGAAAAAAAAAACATCCCCTTTTCAAGTAAAATTTCCCAGGCACAAGATAAATCATAATTAAGTAATGAAAAGCAAAACCCATAAAAAATGAACCAAACCCAGAAGGAAAAATCCAAAAAAGAATCGAAATTGGGAACGAGAGGTTTGTGTTGAGGTCAGTTACAGTTGAAAAGACCGAAAATTAAGAAAGAGAAAAAGAGGTTAGAAAAAACAAACCTTGAAGAATGGAAAGTAGTGTGATTTGAAAATGATAGAAGGTTGAAGTGAATCGTGGTTGTGGTTGGGATTGGGAGTGTGGTGATGAATAGAAGAGAAGGTTTTCTTAGTTACAAGTACTGTCTCTGTGTCTGTGTTTTGTGGTTCCTGCCACCAATCCACACGACACCCACCCAAATTACACCAATAAAAGGAGAAAAATAATTAGTTAAGGATTACACAAATAAAACTATAAAAGGAGAAAAATAATTAATTAAGAAAATTAAATTTCTTTTTTATTTTTGTTAATTAAATTCACATCAAGACATAGCTACTTTTGTTAAATTCAAAATTCAAAGACTTTTAATAAAGACTAGTCAAATAAAATAAAACTTGAAAATAACATATATGATGCATTAATAATTTAAAATTCTTCAAGAAAAATGTATTTTGATGCATTTAGTAAGTGTAAGTGTTTCTATGTTTGAGTTTTGACCATTTAAGAAATGTTTATGATAATTTTAGAATTAAAAATAAGATTTGAGAATTGTGTAGGCTATTACTTTTTTGATGCGAAAGAGAATAAAAATGGATAAAATAGACTTGTCGATCTTTAAATTTATAAGCATAGGTCAATTTTATTCGATATATATATATATATATATATATATATATATATATATATATATATATATATATATATATATATATATATATATATATATATATATATATATCAAATACGTTTCTTTGTCAAGTTTGGTTGTTATATACGCTAATGTATGACGTTTACATTAACTTTTTCTAAATAGTTAGAATATTTTTTAATTTTATAGATATATATTAAATAAGTTTGTTAAACAAGTTTGGTTGTTAAATACGGTGACGTGTAATGTTACCTCAATTTTTTTTAATAGTTAGAATTTTCTTTAATTTGATCAATAAATATTAAATAAGTTTGTTTGTTAAGTTTGGTTGTTAAATGCATTGAGTGTGATGTTATTTCAGTTTTTTTTTTTAAATAGTTAGAATATTTCTTAATCTAATAGATATATATCAAATAAGTTTGTCTGTCAAGTTTGGTTGTTAAACGCGCTGGGGTGTGGCATTACCTCAATTTTGTTTGAAATAGTTAGAATTTTCTTTAATTTGATGGATAAATATCAAATAAGTTTGTATGTCAAGTTTGATTGCTAAATGCGCTAACGTGTGATGTTACCTCATTTTTGTTGAAAAAGTTAGAATTTTCCTTAATCTCATGGATATATATCAAATAAATGTGTATGTCAAGTTTGGTTGTTAAACGCGCTGAGGTGTGATGTTACCTCAGTTTTTTTAAATAGTTAGAATTTTCTTTAATATGATGAAAGTTTATTAAATATGTTTATATGTCAAGTTTGGTTGTTAAACGCGTTGACGTGTGACCGTACCTCATTTATTTTGAAATAGTTCTAATTTTCTTTAATCTGATGAAAATATATCAAATAAGTTTGTATGTCAAGTTTGGTTGTTAAACACGCTAGCGTGTGACGTTACCTCATTTTTTTTGGAAATAGTCATGATTTTCTTTGATCTGATGAAAATATATCAAATAAGTTTGTCTGTCAAATTCAGTTAAACGCGCTAACGTGTGACGTTACCTCAAATTTTTTAAATAGTTAAAATGTTCCTTAATTGATGAATAAATATTGAATAAATAAGTTTGTCTGTCAAGTTTGGTTGTTAAACGCATTGACATGTGACGCTACCTCAATTTATTTTGAAATAATTAGAATGTTACTTAATTTGATGGATATATTGAATAAGTTTGTCCGTCAAATTTGATTGTTAAACGCACTGGCGTGCAACGTTAACAATGAGGTGTCAACCCATGTCAATGAAAATGTTATAATGTTGTCAATATTTTTATTGTTCATTCCAAAGATTGTTTTTTATTTCTTTCCTAAATTGCATAAATTTTATTTTTCTTTTTTTCTCAGTAAAAGTTTGAGACCCTCACATTTTTATCCCCAATTTATTCAAGCTCAAAATGCAAAGATAGTAAAAATGGATATTAGTTATGCATGTATGAATTTCATAAAAAAATCTCAAAATGTAAAAGTTCGTCTTCAACTTCCATTTTTAATAGAGGAGATATTAGGAACATTGGAATGTTAGAATGTTATTGTTAGAAACGATTTATAATTTATTTATATTTTTCAACCATTTATTTTATTTTGCTATGTGTGGTTAAAGACTATGTTCAGATTTATTTATTTATATATATATATATATATATATATATATATATATATATATATATATATATATATATATATATATATATATATATATATATATATATATATATATATATATTAAGGGTGGGAGGATTACCAATTGCCCTTAAGGGGCAACTTCTATTTGTTGCCCTCCACAAGGGACCGCCTCGTCCTAGGTGTTTCGTACTCACCTAGTCGTGGAAAACGTGGGAAAAGATGTTTCTCGACCAGAGAGAATTCAGGGTCAGCGCTCCAACCCACACCTCTCTAGGAAAAAGGGATTCAACAGTTCACTGTTAACTGGTGGGCAATTATCATTTCCAAGGAAATCATAGACCTAAGTGTCTATATAAATAACTCTTCCCCGGAGAGAGAGAGAGAGAGAGAGAGAGAGAGAGAGAGAGAGAGAGAGTGTGTGTGTGAGAGTGAGATAGAGGTCATAACTTAACTCGCATAACCTATAAACACAGAGCCTCACAGCTCATGTGAACTAGCCATTTCCCACCACTATAAACACTACCTAACAAGGCCTCTCACCAGTGCTGGCAAACCCTAACTGTTATAAAACTAATAAGGCTTCTAGTCATCCTTACTAGTCTTAGGGTACCATGCACTCCTATACTTTTTAACAAATAGGGTGGTGCCCACCGTGGGACCCCGGTAAAACTAACCTAGACCAAACCCTCATCATTAAAATTCTTACAACATTCCCTTGAAGATGTTCAATAAAGCTCTATATTATGTGGTTAGCCCCATAGTCGGAGGTTTCATCAACGAAGGATGCTTCAGCTCCTCCTAGAGGAAGTAAGTTAGGCAAGTACTTACTACGAGCGTGATATTCTTGTGACTCTCTAAAGTTAAGCAGGAAGAGCCAAGAACCAATATTACTTTCTCTAGCAGTGACGCCGTTAGAATTCTCCTTCACGATAATGACCACATGGTCGTCACTATGCAACACAAAAACTAGGATATCAAAAGAATCTTGATATACCTCTAAAGCTCAATTGACATTCTATTATGGGATTCTTTCCAAAAAAATTCCAGCTCGATCCCAACAACATGCAGGCGTTATAGGGATCGATAGTATGATTATCAAGCAAACAGATGCAAATAAATAGGCATGTATCCCTTGAAACAACCTGCAACATGGGACCATACTCCAAGGCAATTAAAGTAAAATACCTCATAGTGGACGCTTTATCACCCTATGACATCATTTTGGGAATACCTACTATTAGGGGCAGTTATTTACACATGTTGCATGGTTCGGAAGTACTCACTGCCTAATGGGCGAGTTGGGATTGTTCGAGGTGACCAAAATTATATGAAGAAGATGTTCATCATCTATCTTAGCTTGTTTTGATGAAGATAAATGTTTATATTAGAAAAAAGATCAAAGAAGAAAAAGATTGAAATCAAGTATCAAGATTGCATGGGCTTTGGAAATCAAAGGATTGAATCATGAAGATTGAGGTACCAATGGAATTTCATTTGTTTATATATGTTAAGTGCTCGAAAC